GCCTCGTCAACCTTTGAAATGAAATAAAGAAAAAGCCACACACTCTTGTGAGTTCACAAAATGAAGTAAAAGAAATTAATTAATGTCAGTTGGTATGACAACGGGCAGTAATTTTGCTCGAAATATTACCAAAAGAAATAAAACTTATCACTGTGGGTAGATTACTGAAATATGATTAATATATGTGGTAGTGCGTAAAACTGTATGATACGGTATGAGCAGTGAACTGTTTTCAGAAAGTCATCCAGTAAATAATACCGTTTCTCCATATGATGATATATCCAATAATCAAATTAGAACAAGACATATAAGCGAACAATATTGTTTTCAATTAGATCTTCATCAGGCTTTACTCTGATTTACATAAATTTATACATAAAAATTTTAACCAATGACGGTTAATTTGTGAATCAAATAATAATAATAATAATATGTGTATATATAGACAATTCACGCGTCGGTGGTATAGCGATTAAGACGCTCGCCGACCATGCACATGGTCCGGGTTCGATCCCCGGCCACAGACGCAACCCCTTACCTCGCTAAGCCAGAAATAATGCTGGTAAAGAGGAAAGTTTGAGCATGAGGCTAGCAACCCCATCCAGTAAAATAAACACTGCTACAGAAACTTCAAGCCACCAGCTTGGAGCCCTATGTTCCACTGGGGAACGAGAAGGAAAAAATAATAATAAATAGACAATTCAACAAATAAATTAGGCCAAATCTTAAAAGCTACGTAATACTAAAGGTGAAGTGGACAGATAATCAGAGTTTAAATAAATGTCATAAAAATACGAAGGAGATGGAAAATAAGAAAGGGTGGGAGGGTTTTGAATAGAATTCACCTAGGCAAGCAAGGGAGAGACAAAGGTAGAACAAACTTCTTTTGTATGCAAAGACTAGGATTGTTCTCTCGAATTAATTCCCATAACTTCGGCTATGTGTAAAAGACGGATTCGAATTCTGTTTGAAAGGCTCGGTGGAATGCGATGGATAACTTTGAAAACATTGTTTTTGTCCACTTGGTGACCTCTATCAATCAAATGAGCCAAAATAGAACTTCTTATAGATTTTATTTGACCTTTTCTGAACCATGGAAGAAGATGCTTATTAATGCGTTTGTTAAGCTGTCTAGTTGTTCGCCCTATATAGCTGTCTCCACAGGAGCAACTAAATTTATAGATACACATAGAAGTGGCACAGCTAGTAGCTTGTCTTTCACTTGAGCAATCATAATTGGTCGGCTGGAAAATGACAAACACGTAATATGTAATGAAAGAAAAGATATCCTCCTCTAAATGAAGGACAGACATGAACAAAAGATGTGACAGTGACGAAATCTTCATACCGAAGAGTCATTTTCAAGATCTATACTTTGTAGTTAACAAAGAATTCATACAGTCAGTCAAATACCAGTAACTATATTCTAGGAAGTGTATTACGTAATTTGCGGTTTAATTGAGAACAGAATGATTAAGTGGAGATAAGAATTGAAAGTTTGAATCATGTGATAAGTGTGAGAAACCATCTAATCATTCAAACGTACATAATGGACAGAAGACAGTCTTTTTTTAAATCTTGATAATAGCTTGATTCCACACCGTCTTTTTGGTACAAGTATGGAATTTTCAGCATATGATATCGGTAGCCTGAATTACACAGGGCGACCATAGGTGTGCGTTGGCAGGGGATCGAACCCCGGACCATGTACATGGTTGGTGAGCGTCCTAACCACTATGCCACCGACGCATATATTTTAGTGTCCACATAAAATCTGAATGAGAAATGCAATGTAAACAATGCACAATAACGATAGTTATATGTACATAAACTAAAACAACAAAATAAAATAAAATTATGGCAAGAATGTTACTCTGGTCATGGGAAGGCACGTGATTGTATGTAGTGCTTTTAAATGTAGAGTTCCGGTTTCAAGTTTGAATAACTCGTGATTCTGGTATGCATAAACAAAGTATCCGTAATCTTTTTGTGTGATATGTGTATCACTGTAAAGCGATGCTACAGGGGTGCCTGATGTCCGAAATTGACAAGGTGCTTGAAAATAAAAGTATTGATATTCTTCTTTTCTCTTCTGGTTCGCTAAGTTGCTGATGACAGTAGACAGATGGATTTCTAGAAGACACTAATTTAGCATAGAGAAACACCTTAATGAAGTGAGTAGTCGACGTATAACCCAATAAATTACACTTACCTTAAATATGTTATGCTAAGACGGAGAAGTTTTCTCCTCACAAATGCGCAACACGATACTTTGCTTATTTATCTTTATTAGCTATATTTCCAACTTCACTGATAAAACTGAGGTCAACAGGACAGATTATACAACTACATCGCTCCCTGTTTGATGACTGTTCAAAGTAATTCCCACTCATTTTCCTATATTCATAACTCCAGTTAGTTAACTTCAGTATATACTCAAAATTACATTGAATCTTAGGATTTTGTGTCATGCAGCCACCTATTTGTTAGTACTATTATCTCCGACTTCAAAATCTGAGATCTTCATTCGGAGTTTATCGATGGATATATTGTTGCTGTCAGCGATCAACAGTCAGTCGACAATCTTCTCATCCGTAAGAAATATAAAACGTGTCAATGAATTTTTAAATGAATAACCCATCTAAAGCGCTGCATCAGATTTCCTTAATGAAAAGAATTTTGACTGCTATTTTAGCTGAATTTATCTGGACACCTTAGCGATAAGACAGCTTCTAAATTGTATGTTTCAGTCACTTCGATCCGATTAGCAAGAAGTGTAGAAAAGATGAGTGTTCGGAAATGTGACAACTGAACTCCAATCTTTGTCATGGTGTTGTTGTGCTACTTATTATTATCGTCATCAAAAAAACGTAATATATACGAAATTAAATGTATAGTCTCTATGTATTTATTCCCGACTTTCGGTTATCAGATACATATTATTATTATTGTTCCCTTGGGTTCCTAGTGGACCATACGGCTTCAACTGCACGTGTCCACTTGCTTCTGTCTTCTTCTGTACTTTTCACCTGCATCCATGTTAGTCCATACTGTTTCAACTCCTCTTCACATGATCTCCTCCATTTCACCCTTGGACGAGAAGTCGAAGACATTTCTTTTATTAACAGATACATTCAGTTATTATTAGATAAAAGAAGAATTTTCAAGTACTGAGTTGAAGAGAGTTTATCAATTCCAAGCTGAATTTCGTCATGGAATGATATATGTTAGAGAACTGTGGAAAAGTAAGATTCTTTATGATCGGACACTAGTCATTAACCAGTGTAATATCTCTAGTCTTTTGTTTGGTGCAGGCTGAATTCTATCAGTCAGGTTTGCAATATGGCTACCATTCTAGGCAGCTCACCGTCACGGTGCACACTGATTTGTAATATTAGATAGTTGGAGGCAATCGGCAAGAAGCCTTGAACCTGAATTTCGTGCTAGCTGGCACTCATTGGTAAGGTGTATCTGCAGCCTTGAAGGAACTCATATGCCTTCTCAGATTCAAACCCGCGTCACCCAGTGTTGCAGTCATAGACGTTACTACTGCCTATTAGGACTCACAAGATAGTTGATTCATCCTGATTTGAGGCAATTCATTAGTGTATACACACGACCCACTCCTCCTACTTCAGTTTAAGCAACTGGGTAGTACCATTGGTCCACACAGAAAAGTGTGAGTCGAAGCCTGATAAATTAAAAATCTGTTCTGCATAACTTAGCTCAAATGACAACCCTTAAGATATTATTCCTCATACGGTCCGTATGTGTCTCATAGTATCTTATGTACCTGGTCATTCTTTCACTAGTGGAATTCAAAGCACATTTTTTAATTTGTGAGTGGCAGTTTTAAAATATATGACAAAACACTGAAGGTTTGAATTCTAATCCTATTATAAGGTGAATTTTGGAGTTAAAGTAAAAGTCACTCTGAAGAACATTAACCACTGACACACTTATAGATCCTACTCACTTATATAACGAAATTGCACTTGTTAACTTGGTCAAGTAGATCGAAATTCTACAGCGTTAATCACATGAACTGTTAACTAAATCTACTTCAACATTATTTAATATTCAAGTGTACTGTATAAGCAGTGGTGTAATATATGAAGTTAGTTATAACCACAACAGTAATATCTCACAAGTAATGTTCGAATTCTGGGATCAAATGAGGATGTAAACTAAAATCATTTCCCATGGTATTAACTCAATAATTCAAAGTGAAGAAAGAAAGGAAAAATAAAAAAATACACCCAGGATTCTAATCCATAAATTTTGTATTACAAAGAATTCTGACAGTTTGTGTATTGCCAACCGAACATTGTAATGCTTTCATTCTGCATTATTTGTGTGTCTGTTATTCGATTGGTGTGTGTGTATATATGTGTGTCGATGCACGATTGTACCTTATTAGCAGAAGAAAAAGTTTTGCTTCTATGACCTTTAAGTTTAGCAACTTTGATGTTTACCGCCTATCAAAGCTATTTAGCGGCTTAAAATCAATATAAAACAAAAAAGTATCAACCCCTTCGATACTAATATTTCCTACGCTGTCATCATTATAGTGATGTTATATCAGTTCATCTTACTTTTTTCATACATGTGTTAGGTCTTCAGCAAATCAAAATCAAAATAACGTATATGCATTTATGGACTTACTGTTTATTTTCTCACCCATTAATTTATAAAAATAACACAAATTTAACCAATCAAAGAAGTGTAAAAAACGGTTTACTGAATTCTACAACCTGATTGGTTCACTGTGCGTAGTGAAAAGGAATTCAAGGAGGAGTAAAGCTATTGGAGTCATTCTATCGTTAACCTGATAATAGTGTACATTCTCATTAAATAGATAATAAATGTGAACGAGCATACATGCACATACACACACTTAAGCATACACATTGTACATACATACATACAATGCGCTGATAGAATCGCGTTAAAAGCCTGATTTATACGAGTATTCAACCAATAACAATTTAAACATACACCTAGTAATTATTGTCATTATTATTTTTATTACCGTCATTATCGTTATTGCCACCATTATTCACAAACCTGTATTCTAACTGTTCAGTTACATAGAAATTATCATTACACGTGATTAGACATATATTCTCTACTGCTTGAATTCTTTCAACAGCTGTAAGACAAAGAAGCAATTTGAAGAAATTATATGCCATAAAAATTATTTAGTAAACACTAAACATAGTAATATTAGTTATTATAATTATCATTAAGTTGAGTGTTGATACTTTCTTGTTGTTATATCCACTCTAAAGTGTAAAGTATGTTAACAATGCAATCGAATTATTATACGGCAAGATCTGATACACGTCTTAATGGTCCTGTTATACCTTCACAATTGACAAATTATCCTTTACAGAATCAACAAATTGCCCATCAACAACAACAACAATCACACCCTCAGCATCCTCCCCATCATCATCAGCAGCAACAACAACAATCTCAAGCACATAGTGTACATGAACTACGCTTACCTCCGATTATATCCTCGGGAACAGTCAATAGTGATTCAATTAATCCACCTGATTTAGTACATAATTCAAGTTCATCTGAAGAACATTTGAATTTCTCAACATTGAGACAATCAGGTATAAGACGTGATAAAATTAATAGTCAAGATTGGATACAAAATAATCCTGAGTGTAATATGAAACTTAGTTATGTAACAGGTCAATCATCACCGACAAATGAAGAATTGTCAGCTTCATCGACACGTTTACGACTTAACTGCTCTGTATCGAATGGACATTCTCCGAGTAATTCATCTCCATCACCTTCGCCAACAACTATAACAACTTCAGCCAATAATACAAATAGTAACAGTAATAATAACACTAATAGCCGACTATTAAATCAACAATTTTATTCTGATATAAATTTAATTCGTCAGTCAAATGATTTAATATCCACTTCTGCTACAAATGTATACGGAAGAAATGGACCAAAGGAATTAGATTATTTATTGGCGGCAAATGCAGCTGCTGCACTTGTCAGTCAACTTGGTGGTGGAACGTCTGTGAATACTTTAAATTCAAATTTAACTATGGAACAGTTAAATAACAATTCAAAACTTATACATCGTGATATGAATTCAGTTGAACAATTTACAAGTAAAGATTTATTCATACCTAATGATTTACGATACAGCAGTGGTAATAATCAAAATAATAATAGTAATAGTAATAACAATACTACTAATGGGATTATTAATAGTCCTAATGCAGCTAACAACAATATGAATTTATCATATGAAGATCAACAGAGACTTATGTACTCTGGTACGGAACAGAAGTATACGAATTCAAATCAACTCAAATCCTATCCAAATGGTTTACTAAATCCTTTTAATGGAACTAATTTTATGCGTCCAATGGTACAATCTAATGGATTGATGACACGTAATCCAAATAACGCCTTTCAATCAAATACTTCAGCCACCGCTGTTCATAGTAGTAACAATAATACTAATAGTGATAGTAGTAGTAGCAGCGTCAGCATTAATAATGATTCTCGTACTCATCTATATGATATTTCGTCTTTCAATGCTCATAATCCATACTCTCTTACAAACCCATTTCATTTTAATTCACGTTCAACTAATCAATCATATGCGAATGAATCAATGAAATTAAATGGGAATTTATCCCTACGTGATACAAATTATCATGCCTTATTGAATGGATCACCTTTTGGTAACAGTAATCATAACAACAACAACAACAGTAGTAGTGGTGTAGCATTTCGATCATTAATTAATCCAGAGACTCAATCATCCTATCTTTCCACTTCTTCTGAGTTAAATCAATCAATACAAGGTGTACTGATGAATTCATCAATGGATAATACAAATTCATTATTGAATGATAATAACAGTTGTACTGGACAGTCGTTACGACAGAATTCAAATTCAAATGAATCGAATGTAGTTGTTTATCCATGGATGAATCCTAAAGGATCTGGTATGCTTTCACTGTTCATTGTTTTGTTTTGATGTGTGGAATAATTTAATGCTAAAATGACTTCATTGTAGGGGTGAATTCTGTTAACAAAACGTTAAGCGCTTAGTTGTTTAAGATAAATTAGTAAAACCGTAAGGTAGACATCTTGTATATAAGTCACTAGAGAGCAGGGCTAACAATCTGGAGGTTGATAGTTCGAATGCATAGTTACCTTTAGTAATGGATCACAGGCAAGTAGTTGACAGTGAGTCTATGGACCGAGTTCCAGTCCATTTACTTTACCCTGGGCAACTGGGTAGTGTCATTATACTTCACTCAGAAAGCGTGGCACATAGCCTAGTATATGAGAAAAAAACCGGTCCGGTTAGTTGAGTTCAAAAAACTAATTTTAATGTGCGTGTGAGCATTTTTACAGAAATGGCTTGCATTATAGGGGAAATCTGTAAGAAATAATCTGAACAATACATTTTGACTCAACCTTCTTTTAAGTGAAATACAGTTGATAATCGTTGTGAATTTCTCATCGTATTAGTTTCCAGGTGTACTGCTTGATCATTCAAAAAAAAAATTTACTTTAAAGCCATAGGATTAATGATAGCTGATAGTGCGGGCAAAAATGATTCTTTCCTCGTATTTTTAGGTGATTTTTGTCATCTGAAATCCTGTAGGTATTATTCCCGCTAGCCAATATTTGCGTAGGCGATTAGTTGCTGCATTTTTTTCTTAATGGACAGAAAAGATCAGTATTCACTGCTCTGTGCGTATATCACTTATATCACAACAACTCGTGAAACCTTCAAAGTAAAACAAAATAAAACCTGACCGAAATATATTGATTTTTATACTCTGAGCAGTTGTATAACAAACACTTAGATCAACCCGACTTCTGGCTAGGCACTTGAGCGAAATGGTGATATCATAAATCAAATTCAAAATTTGCAAACTAATTCACAATCTCGCCTACTGATTTGCATAATCCAAACCGGGTGGTTTGAACTGATTCGGTTATCTGAGCTGAGCTGAACAGAGTGTCCGGTGTCTAGATCACTACATTCTGGCTAACAAAAACTACTGGTTGATGTGAGTAGTGTACAACTACTCATCTCACTCAATCAGTAGTATATAGTGTTTTATACATTGTCATTTGTAATATCAAGCATATCCCGTATTGTTATCTGAATAATCTCAGTTTCCGAGGGAAACTAAAGTATAAAAATCCCCTCCAAGTGTGTGTATTTTCAGATTAATTAGCAAAATTGAAGACTAGTCCGTAAATTGTGAATTCGACTATCGACAGCTTTTCAAATTATTCTCTTACCTGAATACACAGTAATAACACAGTATTCCTTTTCAGGTAAATAATTTTTCACCAGTCATCTACAGATATAAGGTAGTCAGATAACAAAAGAGTAAAATAAGTGGCAACCTCCATCCATCCAAGTGTAATTTCATCATATAGGGGCGACAGATTTAAAATAACTCTCAGGCTAGTCTGAACTAACACATTTATCATTTAAAAATAATGGTGAACCTGTTAACATATAGTAGTGACAATTTTTTTTCATTCGCTTCCGTTCCAAGCGAGACACAGAGTTCCACGCTTAAGCCTTTTTGATGTTTCAGTAGCAGTGGTATTTTTTTTTACAGAGTTAGGCCAAACCTACCTTCTCTACAGGGCTTACTACCGGCTCCTCGGGGAAAAGAACCCACCGAACCACTGATGCACGTCTTATTAGAATATACTTTAAAAATTCTATTAGTGTATACAGTGACTATAAAAATAAAACGTGCGTCGGTTGTACAGTGGTAGAATGCTCTCCGACCACGCCTTATGTGGTCCGGAGTTCGATTCTCTGCCGACGCACTCCTTTAATTCATGAAGCCAGTAATAAGACTGGTAAAGAGGGAAGGTTGGGCTAGGGTTCATGAGGCTAGCAACCTCATCCCGTAAAAATAAACACCAATGCTACGAAAATTTCAAAGCTGTAGACTGAAGCCGTATGTTTCACTGGGAACGTAAAGGAATAAAAAAATAATAAAACAGTACAAAAACTCTCACTGCTTTGAAGTGTTCTAAAGGGTTCATTTAAATCATTTCTGAAAGCAAGTTTGTACTTGAAAGATTCATTTAGTGCAGTCAGTATAGTCTGTTGTAAACACTAAGATATACTCCACATTTTCAAATTGATGATTTCTCATAAATTCTAACAACATGTGTAAACTTAAGACATCAATAGAATTAAATACGAAGAATTTAATTGGTGGAATCCAGGGTGCGAATTTCGCCCTATTTCAGACTCGTCAGCTGGATGTACATGCATTCCCCAGTCACTGAGTCATGATGTTCCCACTGAGGCTCGAACCCAATGCCCATAGTTTCAAACGCCAAAGCGTTACCCACTAGACCGTTTGGGCCACGAGAGCCACCTTTTGTGCAACAGGTCATATTAATTTAATTGAATTTGAGATTTTCCCGTCGATTGGGCTCTGGGTTGGAGCCTCGTGGGGAACACCATCACTCACTGGGAAGCGCAGGTAAAAACGGACTACGAGTCTCAAATAGGATGAATGCACATTCTGGATTCCACTGCTAGTCACCATCCACCAGTTAACTTCAAGTTCAACGACCAGACATCGTCGAAGCATCTGCACAAGAAGCCGACATGTCAACCTGAGACCGAGCACTTCGATCCAATCAATCGACGGGAAAATCTCAAATTCAATGAAATACAGAAGAGTTTACTTCAAGAAATGTTTCTCTTTTTTATACGAAAATTGCCGACAATCTCTACAAGCACAATATTGTTTAAAATTTTTTTTATTTCAATTCGTTTCGCAGTCTAATTTATATCATCTCTCATGCACTGACAACATTTCGAACTTTATCCTATAATAATATTAACAACACATTTGTGTCTGTGTTCATTAAAAATATACTGAATAGAAGTGTTTAGAACAAAATAACTAAATATTTATACTATGTCCCGAATACATTAACTACTACTACTACTAGAAATGGTGTGAACAAGTTATTGATTGTTTGGTGCCCGAAAAAAATATTGCCTTTTTTTGGCAGAAAAATACATATAGCCTTAGAAGTTATTCACACCGAAAACATTATCCAGCTTGCCACAGATAAACAAACTTCATATTAAATTATATTTAAACAAATTTTTACATAAACAATTCATTATTTGTATACAATATTATTCGGTGTTATTATCCAGAATTACTTTGATCTTAGCGCACTTGCAGCAGTTACCGGAATAAATATAATCAATTAACTATCGATTCATTATTATTGCATATTTTAATTACTAAGATTCTATGCTTATTAAATACACTGTAGTGTACAAAGCTCAATAGGATGGTTTCATTGTCATAGTTTCATGATACCTTTAGTTCAGGGAAAGGATATGAAGCAACATAGGCGTGAAATTAGTATTTTGAGTGATAATCATCAATTATTGTGTTTCTATGGTATTGAGGAAATCATAAAAATCCATGTAAACCAAGGAAAACGAATATAAAGGAGCGAAATTTCCATATTGCTTAGGGTAGTTCAGGATTATTGAACATTGAATGTAGAAACTTGAGTAGCTTTGTTGTTTAAAATAACAAACCACAATATTCAATAATAAAATCGATGAATATTTTTCAAGTTATACCAATTATACTACAGTAAATCTGTGCCTTTTGAGAGAGAGAGAGAATGTATGTGTGTGTATGCAAAGTATAAGGCAATGTTTAATTATTTATTTGTCTACATGTCAAAAATGTGTACAAATTTGTACAAGACTTTCGTGACTAGTTATCCTAAGAACTGAATAAAATTGTTGGTTTGAATTTTAAAATATTTATGTCTCTATCAATCCTAGTAAATGCATTCTTTTTACAGACATTTAAGTTATGTCTAACGATGATGTTTAATAAATGAATTTACTGACTTTATCATAGTAAAAGGAATAAACAAATCCAGGAAGATATCGACACGTCAGTTAAGTGGAAGAATTCCAGCCTCTCCTACTGTAGATATAAATAACAATCTTTAATCTCACAGAGATGGTCAGTCTCCATGACGTTATAAATACATTTTGCAGAAGAATGACAACAAATATTAAAATCAAACTATAAACAACTTTTGCTAAATTAAATCGGACAAACCCCCTACAAAGTAGAATGTTTTAGTGGAATAGCCCTAAATGCAGCAGTATAAATCTCAGTGATACAATTCTGTTGACGTTGATGAATAGACGTCACTTAATCTGTAGTAGCTGTTTACCGAATTTTTCTAGTATAAGTAGTCTTAATTTTGAATTTCAGTTTAAGCCGCTTTTCGCTGACGCAGCACTGCTGATGAGGCTGTTTTAGGTATCTACCAGGTTTCTTACGAGAATACTGTAAATCAAAGTTGTAGTTAAAGAAAAATCGTTAATTTCTTCACCGTTAATCAAAATCGACTGGAGGTACTACATAGTTTGCAATTCGGTAACAGTAATCTGCAAGTCTAGAGTTGTTTGTGATACTGGTTTTTTTTCTGGCTGTGTAGTTTAAAGTCTGCATTATGCATTAACTTTCCTACGATCTTACTATGCAATACGGAAGAAAAACTAACAGTGTTGAGCTAAGGAAATACTAGTACGGAAATGATCATTGACAATTGCATAATTTACTATGAATCAGTGAGTACTGAATGATGGCGGTAAAATACATACCAATAAAGATTAACTTAGGCTGTTTGCATGTTTGCCATTTTACTTCGTTTCACTGAATTTAAATCTTAAATGAATATATGTAAAGTAGAAATTTGAAAGTTAATTCCAAATGTATTAATTTGAGCTATCTCTACGCCGAAGAATTCCTAAATAATAGTAGTAGTAATAATAATAATAATATAAAATGAACATCACTCACAGTCATATAGATAAGCCGACTAATTACTAGTGACTTGTATGCTGTATTTGAATGGAAACACACTGCCATACAAACAAATTGTTTTG